TGTATATATATATATATATATACACACACACATATATGGGATTAAAGGTCAAAATGGCACATTTTAAGAAGAGTTATTTGAGTTCAGAACCTCTGCTTTCATTCACTCTCCATTCTGCCCCTTCACTACGGCTCTGTGATCATGCAACTCAAATGCTAAATTGTGTAGAAGATCCTTTAAAGACTTTGAATTAAATTTACATTCACCTTGCTTTTCTTCGTTTTTACCACTACCAATTAAATATTAATATTGAAACAAAGCCAAATTAATGATTTAGAAGCTCTTATCCTACTCATTTGAAATGCTTTTCATAACCTAGTTTTTCCTTCATTTCATTAATCTCTGTCTTCTATTTTAATATTACCTCTTAATTAGTATCCCCTTTCACATCCCCTAGTAACATTTTCATGATAAAAACTTTGCTTTCACTTGCAAAGACCTAAAATTTAGAAATTAAATGAAGAACTTTTGTACATTGTTCCGAAAACTTTAAATTCTATACAATTTTGAGTAAGCCCCTATCCTTATAAGCTGTTTATAAAAATTATGAAATGGTGAAGGTCTTCACTCTTCCAAGTACAAATTCACTGGAGGAAATAAGGCTTCCATAAAATATAATATTCTATATACTTTTTATGATAGTATTGTCTCTATACTTTGTGATTTCATGTCCATTTATACTTGTAAAAAATATTTTTATAAAAGGTACAGGCAGGTCTGTGGATGAAATAGAAGAAAACAGAGATTTAATACAAAGTTCTTTAGAGACAGGAGAAAAATCACGATTTAACCACAAATAGATATCCTGGGTACAGTAAAAAAACATAATAGCCAGTTACTTGCTTTTAACAAAGTATTCAATTCTCATTATTATATGTTTTAGTCAAGAGAACTTTCCACCTTCCCCTCCCCTGATTATGTTTTCTATCTTTTACTGGGATGTGATTTTTCCCAGTTATTCTTGTTCTTTGTTCTCTTTCAGCCTCCCCTCTTTAATACTCCCCTCCCCTTCCTTCAGTATTTCTCATGCTGAAGGCAGAACCCAGCAGCCAAAGCTTGACTTGAAAATGATGGAATCAGGGTCAAGCAGAAACCCTGTGTGGACAAAAACTCAACACTCAGGCAGATGTCTGAAAAACGAGGTCAGACTAATTCAGGTTTCTACATCCAACCCCATCAAAATAACAAAACTCTCATCATCACAGCCCGGACTTTTCCATTCATGGAGCTTTTCTGAAAGGACAGCGAAGCCTTCTCATTACAGTGTTGAGTAAGAATTGAGACCAAGCTAGCTTCGAAGTAGCATTTAGGGATGCTTAGAAGTAGATGTCCAAGGGCAAAATAATAATCCTTCAACCCTCAATGCCTTTGCATTCTAGTCATAAACTGATACTGTCCTGAGCCATTGAATATATAAATGCTATTCTTTTCTTTAAAAAAATGAAGATATTAACAATGCTTACAGGTTGTTGGAGCTTTATTTCAGATGTGGGTGAAAAAAGGAGATGGCTACCTTTATGTGCTTATATTCAGTCAACAGGAATATATCCTTTTGGGACTTTCAACTGATCACATGCAGAACCTTGAGCTCTGACGGGGCACAGAGACCACAGAAGCTCTAAAACATCAGTCTGATCACAAGGGTAGTTTGAAGTCTAATGCTACATGGAAGGGTGTTATACAATTTTATTTCTGTTCCCCCCATGAAGTAGTTTATGTTTCACTTCAATGGCTGTAACAGGATTCTGTGTTTTCAGTCTTCTGGTGAACTACACAATTCTCCAAGAAACACAGTAAAATGAAATGAGATTTATTGGCATCTGCTTTTGAGATGCAAATAAAAACTCTATGATTTAATATCTTTCAACTTTTATTCTGAATAGTTTTAATTTTTCTGTCACGGGGGAATTAATAATTTTCTGCATAAGTAAAAATGAATAAAGACAGAGTGTGGAATAAGTTTTAGCTAGTGTTTTTGTGGTTCTTTCATCTGAAGAAGGATATGGCAAAACAACAATAAGCATATAATTTTCCACAAGGTGTTATTTTAGTGATTAGCACCTTGAGAACCACCTCATTTTTAGAAAAGAAAGATTCTAAGTGATGTTGTCTGCAGCATAACTTTAATGCACAACATGACTCTGCCTGTTTCATCCTGTTATTACTTCTCAATTTTCACAGTAAGATTCTTTTTTCTCTTTTAGCATTATCGGGGTCATGGTATTTATTAGGATTGCTCCATCTCTGACTAATTATTAAATTGTTAGATATAAGTACATATATTGACTGGAAAAACAAGGGATACTATTTATAGTTTATTCCTTTTTGTGACAGGTAAATATAGAAATGGCTAATTTGATATAACACAACCCAGCACCAATTATCAACTGAGTAATTCTCAATAGCAATTAAAAAAAAATACCTTGAAGACTCTGAATCCTGTAGGGTAAGCTATTTTGGTGTATAAGGCCAAGAAGCCGTATCTTCTTTAAAGCTTAATTTCTTTTAAATGAAAGATTTAAACAGGTTAGTCCTCCTCATATTCAAAACTATATATACAATAAACATTAAAAGAAAATCACTAAAAACGTCCCTTTCCCTTTAGTCTAAAATCTTGCTGCTAAGCCCCGAATCCTGCTTGGAAATTCTTGCTAAGCTATCATTTGGCATTATTACCTGCTCAAGTCTCACACCAGAGACATAAGTGAAAAAATAAAAGAAAGTCTGGTAGCTCAATATTTTGTGGGAATCTTGGTGACTGTTTTCTGCAATATTGAATCAGACAGAAAGTTAATCCAATTATATTATTAAGATGGATGTAACTACCAGATGCATTGTTTTTTGACATTGTTATTCATCAAGGATCACAGACAAAATTAAAATTATCTATAACTTTGTATCAATACCAGAACCATTATATTGTTTTTAAACACGCAAACTAAATTCTTATTTTTAATCTTTGTATGTACAGAACTTTGTGCAATGCCTAGAACACAGTGGGAACGAAATACATATTTTTTGAAATAAACTTAAGTGAAACAGACATTGTGTGACGTTTTTCACCTGAGGATAGCACTTTCTATACAGATTAACTAATGAATTTATGCATCATTTTTAACAAGAGCCATATTTAAGCCAAGGTTAAAGAGTACGGTTCTTGGTTTACTAATGAAAAACAACAAAGCTGAATTCCCCAGCTGGGAATTTGGCTGACAACGTCTCATAGCACCGACTTTCACTCACTGGTTCCCCACATGCGATTATAACGGAAGATACTGATTAGTCTTTTAGAGAAGTCTGCACACAAACACAGGGTACCTGAGTTGCCATTATTATAAAAATGTCTAGATTTAGTGAATTAACACACCGTAAAACCCTCTCTCAATATTCTTTTCTAGTTATAGTCATCTTTTGTCTAATGTCAGTGTGGGAACCACACTAAACAAAACAGAAAATAACTGCTTCATTCAATGTCTTTTAAGAACTTTTGAGTTCTGTTCAAGTGAACGTATTTTTATGATTTGACAAGAAACTTCTTATGATTGTGGTAGGATCTTTATTGTTAAGATATGTTGAAGGATTGCATAGCATTGTCTTTTAATTTCAGACTTTTAGGCTAAAGATATTTCCCTAGATATCACAGAGGGTCTATGATGACTCATTTATCTACATTTACATGAATAGATATAGACATAAATCTTAATATTTACCCGCCTAAGCTGGCAACATTACACAGAGGACCCTCTGCTTATCATGATAGATTATCTTACCTGTTTGGAAATTGACTGGATATTTTGATGAAGTCGACTTCCATCTGTACTCTTTTTCGTGCTATTTCCTCACCATAGCAAGCTGGACTGATCGTAAAGCTTTCTAAGCTTGTGTGCTGAGATGAAGCCTCATTTAGTCACCTGAAGGTAACCGCCTGGTGCTATTTCTAGAGACACTGCAGATCCCAGGACTACTGTAGCAGCCTGTGCTTGCCCAGGAGATATCCCAGGTGCTTGCTGTTTCAACAGTTTACTAGAATTGAAATTCATGAGGATTTTTTTTTCCATGGGAAGTATCAAAACTGTAAGACGATAACTTTATGGGCTGTGGGCAAGGTGTGTTTTATGAGGAATGTTTTTATCTTCCTGACTTAAAAAAATATTAAATGCTCATAAACTATTTTCATAATACACATAAATTTCTTTTGGAAGTTCCACTATTTTCCACCAAAATTTTCTTACTTGGTACTAGGGGCTTTATAGATATCTTATTTTAGCAGTCTAAATGACTTAGAAACAAGCATTATTATTAATTTTTATATTGATGGTGAAATTAAAGTGACTTAAGCAAAGGCAAAGTAATAAACCTGGGATTCAAATACTGGCTGCTCTGATTCCAAAACTGATGATGTTTTTTCTCACCATAACATATACCTACCATTATGATTGAACACAGAGGGATTTCAGATAACTTTTGTAATTATTATTACCAGAGAAATATTTGGCCTAAAAAATAGATGGCAACAAAAAATTAAGACATTATCTCTGTCTTTTAGAACCTAATAGTCTGATAGAAAAAGGGTACTTGAAACACTAGGAATTCCATGAATTATGGAATTCCATAATTTATATGGCATAACTCTAGCAAGGTTGCAATGAAACTTTATCATTTATACATTACTGGTAACATTTAATTGATTTTAAAGCAATAGGGCAGTGTTAAGAGTCTTAAAAATATTCATGAACTTTAACCCAGTAATTTCCCAACTGCAAATTTATCTTAAGAAAATGATCTCAATAATAAAAAATAATTAGGCACAAATATTTTCTTTGCAACATTGTAGTAAAAAATCAGAAGCAATTAAATGAACATCAACAGTAAAAAGATAATGTTACATCAACATGAGATAATTGTTGTCTAATTCTCCCTCTCATCCCTGCATCATTAGTTCACCCTTTCTACTAGATCTTTCTAATCTACATTCAAGTGTGTTATGATATTTCTCATGTTAGAACAAAAGTCAAACAAACCCAAATATCCTGTTACCCAGCTACCATTCCTTTTTGTTAATCTCCTTTTAAACAAAAGGTCTCAAAAGAGTTGCCCGTATTTATTGTTTCTAATTCCTCTTTCCACCTCCCATTCTCCCTGTATCAGCTTCTGTTAAACTAAACCAGGATTGCCACATCCCATGTTCAATCCTTAGTCTTCCTCCTGCTGACCTTCCTCCTTAACACAAAGGATTCCTTCTTCTACTCTGATGCCCTTCCCTGCCTAGGCTTCCAGGATGCCACACTTTCTTAGTTTTGCTTCTCATTGGTTATTCCTTTTCAAGTTTCCTTTTCTTACTTGTCCTCATCTTCCTTACCTCTACACAATGGACAGCCAAGTGCTCAATTCTTAGTCTCTTCTTTTCCTCTAAACTATAGTCTCACATTAAGCAGGATCTCTCCTTTAGAACTCAAGACTCATGCATCCAATTGCATCCTTGACACACTCCCTTAGAGAACGAACTGTATCTTGTCCACACTGAACTCCTCATTCCTACTTCAGTCACCTCTACCCTACATCTGTTCCTCTGTCTATTGTCTTCCTCTCCATAACTAGCAACTTCAATCTTCCATGTGTTCAGGCTAAAAAACCAGCCATCCCAGGTGGCAGAGGTTGTAGTGAGTCGGGATCACACCAGCCTGAGCAACACAGAGAGAGTCCATCTCAAAAAACAAGACAAAACAAAACAAAACCCAGCCATCATTCTGGTCTCCCATCTTTCTTTCAGGCTCCAGAATTGGTAAAGCCAGTTAGCATTACCTATGAACAATATTCAGAACAAGACCACTTCTACCACTTCCACGTCTATCATGGGCCAAAGTCACAGACTCCGAATTGATATCCTTGCTTCTACTCTGCCTTTTAATTTTCTGTAAAAAGCTGGAGTCGTTTTCTAAACCATAAATTAGATCATGTCAGTACTTTTTAAAAAACTCTCTGAAGGCTTCTAACTCATTCAGAGTAAAATTAGAATCTGACGTGGTCCTATTTGGTCTCTAATAGCACTCCCCCCATCTTCTACCACACCTCCTCCTCTGCCACTTCATTTATTCTAGTCTCCTTGCTGCTTTTCAAACACACCAAGCTCCCTCCAGCCTCAGAGCCTTTTTAAAAACTGTGTTACTGTTGGAAATCCTCTCCCTGAGATATCTGCAGGGCTCCCTCCCTCCATTCATGCAGGTCACTACTGAAACATTACCTTTCCAGAGATGACTCCCCTAATCAGACTCTTTTAGAATACCACCTTTCCTGTCACTCTCTGTCTCCATACCTTGCTTTATTATTTTTTTCCTTAGCACTTGTCATCACTGATGTGTTATATTCTGTCCCTATTAGAAGACATGTTTCAAAAGAGCAAGGATTTTGGCTGTCTTGCTTACTGATGATCCACAGAGCCCAGACAATGCTTGGCTTATGGCAGAAGCTCAGTAAGTATCTTTTGGATGAATGAATAAAGGAGGTCTATAATATTATGTGAAATAAATATAATGCAAATATGTGTATATAATAATTACAACTACATAAATATGTTAAAGTCTATAAGATGCAATCGTTTTGCAAGATACAAAAAATGCAAATACTTGTGGGTGGTGAAATTTGAATATTATTTTGTTGAGCTAATTTCAAATATTTTTAAAATACAAACTTACCATGTGTATCTGGAAAATGATTGCAGCTGACAGTTGCAGAGAATGCAGTGGCTATTTTAGAGAAATGACTTGCTTCAACCACATATCTCAGAGGAAAATGACCACAGTGATTTCAGAGTTAATACCATTCCCCTACATTTGGACATCATCTCCCATTAGGTATAGCACACCAGTTAAGTGCTATGATTCAAAGTCAGACTGTTTGGGTCTGAAACATAGCTCTTCCACTTCATAGCTGGATAAACCTGGACTAGTTACTTAACCTCTCACAAGGTCAGTTTCTTCATCTGAAAGATAAGATAATGGTCTACTACGTCAGAGGTTGTTAAGGGGATTGATTGAGAACGCTTCTAAGATGTGTAGAGTGTTGCCTGGAACCTAATATGTACTCAATAAATGTTACTATTCAAAAATTTTGTTATTAAATTGAGCAGAGATTTTCACAGATGAGGAAACTAAAATTCAAAATGGTTAAATGATAACTAATAAGTGGCAGGATTAGGACTTCTTATCCCATGTTTAATTTTTCAACTGTGTCAGGTGGCTATTCTTCAGGATACAAGTAAAGATTCGGCTCATTCTGCTTAGTATGTTTGTCTCTTGGTGAAGTTTTCTGTCATATCTCACATCTATGTCATAATTTACTAATAGTGGCATCTCATAAGTGATATAAATTTCAAAATTATATCTTAAAATTAGCTTATTTAAAAAATGGGTAAAAAGAGGTAATTATTTTAAAGATAGTTTAAAACCTTTAAGTTTCAAATAATTTTAAAATTTTCATATAGGGGATAGGTATTAAGAAAAACACTAAATTTTGTATACATACTGACTTCTGTTATATGAGGGATCTTCAAAATCCTCATGGAAAATGCATGGAAAAAAGAGGCATAAATTTCAAAATGTGTTTTTGCATCAAAATAAACTCAAATGAACTTGTTATAACATGTCTGAACAGGATCTAATTTGAGGCACTAAGAAGAATGAGGTATCAGTTTGAAAAGAGCCCCTGTCAGAGAAACATTAATTCTGCCAAAATTGAAGAATTTTAGTAGAATTCTTCTTTCCATTTAAGGAAAGACAAAAACCAAATTTATGGTGAAGTTTGGATAGAAGAATAGTGAAATCATTAATGATCTACTAAAAGTTTGTTAGGACAATGTACCAAAGGAATCAGCAGTTTACCAATAGGTAACTGGTTTTAAGAAGGGATGAGACAATGTTGAAGGTGAAACCCGCAGTGCAGATCGTCATGTCAATTTGCAAGTAAAATTTTTATCTTGTTTGTGCCCTAATTGAAGAAGGACAATGATTAACAGCAGAAACTATCGCCAATACTATAGACATCTCAATTGGTTCAGATTACACAATTCTGACTGAAATACTGAAGTTGAGCAAAGTTTCCATATGCTGGGGTGTCAAAATCATGCCTAGATCAGAGCAGTTTTCGTGGAAATTCTAAATAAGATAAAAGTCCTGTTCTTCACATGTACCCCAAAACCTAAAATGCAATAAAATAAATGGGAAAAAAAAATCCTGAAGCATTTATTTGAACAATTATAACAGGAGATTAAACATGGACTTACCAGTACAGTCCTGGAGACAAAGCATAATCAAAGCAATGGCTACCAAGAGGGAGAAGTGATCCAGTCAAAGCAAAAATAGATCAGTCAAGAGTGAAGGTTGTGGCAACAGTCTTTTGGGATGCTTGAGGCATTTTGTTTGCTTACTTTCCAGGGGCCAGAGAACAATGACATCTACCTATTATGAGAGTGTTGTGAGAAAGTTAACCAAAGCTTTAGTAGAAAAAACACCTGGGAAAACTTCACCAGAGAGTCCTTCTTCACCACAATCATGTTCCTGCTCATTGTTCTCATCAAACAAGGGCAATTTTGTGAGAGGTTTGATGGGAAATCATTAGGCATGCACCTTACAGCTCTGATTTGGCTTCTTATCACTTCTTTTGGTTTCCTAATCTTAAAATATATTTAAAGGGCACCAATGTTTCTTCAGTTAATAATGTAAAAAATACAGTACTGACATAGTTAAATTCCTAGGACCCTCAGTTCTTTAGGGATGGACTAAATGGCTGGTATAATTATCTGCAAAACTGTCTTGAACTTAACATGCAGCTTATGTTGAGAAATAAAGTTTATATTTCTTATTTTTATCTTTTAATTCCATTTTCTATGAACTTTTTGAAGTTCTCTCACATACCACAAGCTAACCACATTTCTTTACTAAT